TGCATCTGGGATCGGCTCGTGCTTTCCAAGCGTCATTGCACCGAAGTAGCTTTTAAACTCGGGAATGTCGTAACTTTCCATTTTCACCGTGAAAGCATTGACCACAGTGTCTTCCACGAGTTCCGCTATCTTAGAATCAGTTCCCCATCCTTCCGTACCAATCCAAACAAAGTGATTCAGAAGGTTGAGATCGCTAGCCGCCTGCAAGACGCTCCGTGTAAGGAGACCATCATCAGATAGCAGTATAATTACCCGAGCGTTTGGATCTGACAGAGATGTCAGCTGGTTTTCGATGTCCTTCGAAGAAGACCCTGGATTGACAAGCAGTGCTCGTGAGATACAAATCTCGCTTTCTTTCGCTCCTTTCACGAGTTCCCAGTGTGCCTCTCTTCCAAAGTCATCGTTGGAATGAATCACGTGAACGTAGTGCCAGGAAAACTTGTTTAGCAGACCTATAACAGCTTGGATTTGACTCATGACTGGTGGAACTGTTTTCAAAGTCAGAGAAACACTCGTATCTCGTCTCACGAGTGTTGACGCAACTGGGTTAGTGATCTGTGGAATATGATTAGCCTGGAGAATAGGGTAAACCTCTTCAGCAATGCCATCATTAAAAGTTAGCGTTGCCAGTACTGCACTTGGTTTGATTTGTGACTCACTGGTTTCGCCGTTACCTTCTTTGGCAAAGTAACTAAAAAGTTTTTCTTCAGCCCTTTGTTCACGCCCACAGTAATCAAAAACTAGAACCCCCAAGTTTATCTCCGGCAAAATTGTTTTGTTCTTATTCAAATTATCAACAGCATAAGAAAGTGCTACCAGGTTCTGGAATATATCTACATGGTTAAGTGGTCCACAAGTAAAGAAATCTTCTCCGGGTTGATGCACTGGGACTAAAGCACTCAGAGCGAAGTTTTCTGTAGGTAAAACTTGCATTACAGATGGTGACCGTGAGATGGCGCCACCGTGGCACATTTCATTTTTAAGACATTGCGAGTAAAAGTTGTGTAAGCTAATTTCTTGAGCGTGTTCGTCATATCCTTTGACTCGAGTCAAGTTCACACTTAATCCTTCCTTTTCTGTATAACTACCAACCTGTAATAGTGACAAAAAATAAATATACTTAACCGACAAACATTATATTCTAATATTTCGTCAAAATATCCGAATAAGTTATATATTTTATATAAAATGTTTATTACTGTTATTTGGTTGTTTTTCTGTATTTTTAGAACATATTTTGTCTGTTGTACATCTAATAAAATCAAACACAACATTGAAGCTTTAAACAGTAATATTTTTCCAAAGATAAAACAATAGGTTTGATCATACGCGAGGATTTCTTTGGTTATTTTATTAAAATAACAAATAACGCGTAGGGAAATCGAAGTTATAGGTACACCTAAATAACACATTCGAATTGAATGCCCTCCCTTCCGGTGGTTCATTCGGAAGTCTGAGAGTTTATGACGCTCAAAATTGGATTTCGATACCCGTGGAATGGCACAGCGCAGACAGCCAGCCTATTGTGTAGCTTTGTGCTTAACAACCAAAACAAACAAAATCAATTACATTCTCATTGAATTAAACTTACAGTTATGAAGGCATGAGCGTTACTTCCAACTTGTCGGAAGTTGAGGACGTCCAGCTGCCCAACACCATAGTGGTTTGAGGTGAACTTCACTGAGCTTCCATCAACTCCAGTGAAAGAGACGTTCTTTGTGAAATTTAGGATCAAATCTCTATAATGCGGATCTTCTCTCATTTCTGGACAAAGACCTGGACCAAATCCTGGACAGAGTTTTTGTCGAGATGCTTCCAGTCCAAGGGTCAGCGCGAAAACCGAGTTGATGGTATCTACTACGGTTGGTTCTTGGGTAAATGGGACATCCTGAAGATTTTTATGCAGTTCGCTGTAGCAGGCAGCGCCTCGACAGTTGAAGACTTGTTCCCAATACTCTCGAAACCAGGGATTTCTGGAGTTGTTCCTTAAGCTGAGTCCGAGGAAGTGTTGTTTGAAAGAGGTGACCATGCTGGAGGATGAACGGATAGACAAGGTGCCCAAGGATTGCTCTGGAAAACGGTGAAAGACCTCTACGTTATCGATAGTCACCCAGATGAAGTCCCCAATGTGGCTCCGTCCAGTCATCTGTAACTGTTTGACCGCTGTAAGGAGCTGGTCAGTGTGATCGGTAGTCAGAAGAAGAATGACAACTCTGTAACACAAGGTACTGATTTTAAACACAAGAAAAAGAAAGGATGAGAAACAACAACACTTGGTTACAGTCCTATATAAAATCCTTATAAGCATGAAAATGTGAACTAATATATTTCAGTTGAAACCCGTAAAAATCAATAAAATTAGTTAAATACCCGCAATATAAATTGTGAATAGCACTGAAAATATGCGAAAATTAACTGGAACACCAGGATCTAGAATATCCAATTTAAATGATCATTATTTAGCTGGCGTTAAAAGTGATTTAAGTAAAAAAAATTTTCACGAAAATTAAATTTCACAAAAAAAAAAATAATTAAAAAATAGCGATTTTGTACCTGGCACCTTCTTCTTGTTTGATTTTCAGCCGATGCACAATATTATCCATCGCTGTGTTCACCTGTTCGCTGTGGCTGGTCACTTTTTCTACTAGAGCAAACTGTATTCCTCTCCTTTCGGCTTCAGCTTGAAATGACCTGAACACATCAATTTGCTGTCGGTTATCGTGAGAATACACAACCGACACATAATTCCAACGGAAGTGACGTAACAGGCTCGCGAGGCTGTCAGCTAACAAGTTGTTTGGAAGAGACAACCGAAGCAGATAACGGTATTTTTCAACATCATTGAAAATAGTTGAAGACGCCTGTGGCGCCACTGTCGTTATGTTCAACGACATTGTTATGTCAACTACAGGTTTCACAACGACGTACGACTGGTCAGCTACGAAGCCTGCCACGTCGTTAACTAGAGGGAGTGTGATGACGTCATTCTGGGACCGACTGAAGAAATTGGAGACATCTCGGGCTGTTTTCTCTCGGCTTCCACAAGTGTCGAAAACTATGGCCCCAAGTTTCACCCCCGGTAAAACATTGGCATTCTTGTTAACCTCATCCAAAGCCCATAAGAATGCCTCTACATTCTGTAGGCCTAGGGAGGAACTCAAGGGACCACACTCCAATGGATTGGTGTTAGGCAGATGAACACCGAAAGTGCCAACAATGTAGAAATTATCTGTAGAATCCAGTATTAAGAAGTCTGAAGTTTGACCTTTGCAACGCCCACAACCAACCCGACATTCTGATGACACGTGATCCATTGTGATCTCATCTTCTGCGCTGTTGTAGGTGACCATATTGACAAGACTAGTTAGTCGATTGTGATAAGACCCCACCTACAGTTAAAGAACAAGGGTTATTTATGTGGTCTAAAACAAAAGAATACGTATTACACCCAATTTAAGCATAAACAGTTAAAACGTCCTAAATTAGTTAAATACAATGGGCAAGGAGGTTAGGGCACTCGACTCGCAATTTGCGGGCTGCAAGTTGGAATCCCATCATCTAACATGCTCGCCCTTTCAGCCGTGGAGGTGTTATAATGTCACGATCAATCCCATTTTTCGTTAGTTAGTTAGTTTGTTTGCTTGTTTTGAATTTCGCGCAAAGCTTCACGAGGGCTATCTGCGCTAGTCGTCCCTAATTTAGCAATGTAAGACAAGAGGGAAGGCAGCTAGTCATCACCACCCACCGCCAACTCTTGGGCTATTCTTTTACCAACGAATAGTGGGATTGACCGTCACATTATAACACCCCAACGGCTGAAAGGACGAGCATGTTTGGTGTGACGGGGATTCGAACCCGCGACCCTCAGATTCCGAGTCGAGCACCCTAACCACCTGGCCATACCGGGCCTTTTTCGTTAGTAAAAGGGTAAGCATCCCAAGAATTGTCAGTGGGTGGTATTGACTAGCTGTCTTCCCTCTCGACTATCACTGCTAAATTAGGGGCAGCTAGAGAATAGCCCTCGAGTAGCTTTGCACAAAATTCAATAGAACAAATAAACACAGCAGGTAGCGGGCTTAAAAACCATAATACATTAACCCTAAAATTACCGACTTGTTTTTATACCAAACACTAACGGGAGGTTCCACTTATTGAGTAAGTATGTTTTTCCTGCTACATCACTTAGAAGGACTGACCCCAACTTGTGATAAAATCACTCATTGTCTGTATAAAATACAGAGGGGGCACGAGGAGTAATTAGTGGGATTAACTGTAATACTGATTATTCATGTTTTTGTTTTGTTTTTCATTAGTGCGTGACTCATATTATTAGGGATCATATAACCAATGAAAACATGGATCCACCACAGGAATTTGGAGCAGAAATGGATGTTTGAATCGATAGTTAATTATAGGATTCAGCATTTCCGAACGGATAGAACCCCCCCCCCCTTCAGCCTTTAGAGTGAACTGATGCGATATCAACTAACTCCATGATAAAACTTCCTCACCAACTTAACCCTTTTGTACCTTAGATATAAACCATATCGGGAAAGGTGGACCCAATAAGAATCTTACCCATGGTTTCTTTAAGTTCTTAAAACAAGTGTTGATTACGGCAGTGGAATGAAAATGTTAGGGGGGGGGGCAGGGTATCCGATCTTTTTTATTTGCCGAGATATTATGTTTAGTGAATCAACCAAGGTGGTCTCGCCCACGTCTTATCCCCTTCATCTCCATTCATTAAAATGAAACTAATAAATAATAATCCAATTATATTAAAAATATTTCAGAAGAAAGTTTATGTTAATTAGCTTATTGCAAAACAGCAACTATCCAGTACTGTTTGTTGAAAAGCCTCATTTCCACGTACCTTCTGTTTATTGAAGTCGCCAGTGGGTCCTTTTCTCAAGTTTAGAATCTCCACAGGGAGGTCACCATAACCTCCTTTTGTGAAGCTGAACATTTCGTTCTTTTCATCAAGTCTCGCAGAAGAGGTATACCGAATGTACTGGTTAACAGTATGACGAATCTTGGATTGCTGGAGTATCCTCGGACACAGGCCTTTCTCGGCACCACAAACCTCGTCCCTCAGACGAGCTAAGCCAGCAGCTACGGCAAGCACTGCTTGAATCGTGTTAATAATTGCTGGGTTCGAGACGTATTGCAAAGATTGGCCAGTAGATGAAACTTTTGCACAGTCACCGTCGGTACAACCTGCTTCCTGTTCCCAAAACTCTCGAAACCAGGGATTACGTTTGTTACTCTCGGGCCTCAAACGACGATAATGAGTCATAAATTCTCTCACTTCGCCTTGTTCTTGTCTGAAAATCAGGGCTCCAGCTGCTTCTTTCTCAAAATCTGAAAATATTTCTAGATTGTTACTCCCCATCCAAATGAAATCCCCCCGACTGATGATTTTGCTGGCTATTGCTTGTTTAATAGCCGAAAAGAAAATCTTTGTGTCGTGTACGTTTAACAAGAGGATCACGACGTTCGCGCCACGAGACTTTGCTTCTTTTAATTTTAGAATTGCGAGATGCATCTGAGCGTCATCGTTTTTAGATTCTCCCCCTACACCATGTTCTGCTGCCAGACATACACCTCCACTTTTAGCTAGCTTCCTGAAAGTATTGTAAGCTTGATGACTTTGGTCGTCTTCACTATAGAGGATAGACACAAAACTCCAACCTAGATATTTCAGTACTTCTATTGTGGCTCTGACCCTTATTTCTACCGGTACATTGACCTGTAAGTTATAGTTATCAGATGCCGTCTTGCGGTCAAGATTAACCTCACTCGTGGCAATACTTGTGATATTTAGAGGTCCTAAAACAGCCGCAGCCGCTTCCGACTCTTCAGAATTCCCAGATACAACAAATGTTAGAGTCGACTCGATATCCAAACTGTCGACACCTTGTACAACGTGACTCGCCAGGTAGTCTGACAGACGTTGTGTTGCCTTCAGCGAGGACCCACAGGTATCAATTACTACAGTACCCAGTTGCATTCCACTCAAAAACTCTGTATCGTCATTTATCTTGTCAATGGTCCATAAGATTGCCTCGAGATCCTGGACTGCCAGAGGATCGACGACATTACTACACTGAAGCGGCGAGTTTCCAGATTTGTGGATTGGAAGGAGAACAGGAATCAGGATATCTTTTGGATTCCCAATCATCTCTATTCCTTCTGAATTTTTATTTCCTAATCTTCCCTCACGAACTCTACATATGAAAAAATTAAAATTCATCGTTGAATCTTCAATAAAAGATTTTTCGTTCTTAAATTATAATTTTTTCTGCCGTTTCTGAAATGGATGGAACATACTACTACTAATAAAATAATAATAATACTTCACTTTCAGCTGCAACTTGAGAATTAATTTTGGACGATTACCATAAAAATATAGTAATAGTTAAGAGTTATATATTAAATATTAACACAAATCAATATTACATACTCGAATAAACGTTTCTAACTCTCAAACGGTTGGTTTGTGATTGTGATATTTTCTCATCCTGAGCTGATTTGCATAAATGGTACTTACTTCGTATAGTATGTTCAATAATTTAACTTTTTATTTATTTTTTCTGATTATAAAAAAATAACAATTGATGCGATTGGATGGGTTATTTGTTGGTGGTCAGTTTTTACTTCATTAACACCACGTAATACTATACACACAAAAACCTTTTACTTCATTAACACCACGTATTTACTATACATAACATTTTGTTTACTTCATTAACACCAGGTATTTACTATATAAAAAAATCTTTTTACATCATTAACACCACGTAGTAATGAACACAAAAAAACTTTTTACTTCATTAACACCGCGTATTAATAAACATAAAAAACTCGCTTAAGAGGTAATTAATATTATTGCTTTTTTAGGTTTCTTATGAATAATTACATGTATTTGACGAGTATTTAATTAGCTAGGTGATCACTGTCCTATGACTTTAAATGTATTTGACGAGTATTCAATTAGCTAGGTGATCACTGTCCTATGACTTTAAATGTATTTGACGAGTATTCAATTAGCTAGGTGATCACTGTCTTATGACTTTAAATGTATTTGACGAGTATATAATTAGCTAGGTGATCACTGTCCTATGACTTTAAATGTATTTGACGAGTATTCAATTAGCTAGGTGATCACTGTCTTATGACTTTAAATGTATTTGACGAGTATTCAATTAGCTAGGTGATCACTGTCCTATGACTTTAAATGTATTTGACGAGTATATAATTGGCTAGGTGATCACTGTCTTATGACTTTAAATGTCTTCCACAGACGACATGCTGCTATCTGAGTAGCAGAAAATAATAATATTAAGAGGTAAAAAGGCCGAGGATCTTAAGAGGCAACCCAGGGCTAACAAAAGGGAGTCATGTCTAGCCTCTGTAGTCTACCAGATCCCACTACGAACCAAACATGTTAGGCAACCCAGAGCTAACAAAAGGGAGTCATGTCTAGCCTCTGTAGTCTACCAGATCCCACTACGAACCAAACATGTTAGGCAACCCAGAGCTAACAAAAGGGAGTCATGTCTAGGTCTGTAGTCTACCAGAACCCACCACGAACCAAACATGTTAAAACCTAATACATCAGTGGATTTTGATAAACTTCAACAAACATTTTATATACGTTTTTTAATATAAATTCGAAGAAGTTGACGAAGCAAACAAGAACCTTACAGCTACTTCGTGTTAATGTACTTACTTGACACAGTTCTTACAGCCAGTAGCTGGACATAGTGTAGGAAGATATTCAAAGTTAGGATCCAGAACGTTCGCTCCAGTATAGTCGTAAACAATAACCTTTACAAAGAAAACACAATAACTGTGTTATTTAATCTCAAACAGATGATTGATACAAAATCTAAAAAATATATATATTAAAATCAAAGATGGCGATTTGTTATTGTTTTAAAATGTTCGATGTCCACTTCTTTCCTTGCCACATTTTCAAAGGCTTTAAACGTCTAAGAATAGTATTGACTCGGTTGTTATATTATTTTGAACCCGATAAAGATGCATATTGGGAAACTCACCTGTTGAGGTTCAACGCCAAGATTTTGATCGTACGAGTACACAGTTAGCCCTAGCTTCACACCCTCAATTTCACCTGCTCGAGTTTCCGGTGTTTTTCTTCCGGTAATTTCTGGCGGACTTCGACTTCTGGGGCTGTGGTCAAAATCCAATGGTTCCAGGTACTGGCCAACAAACTCCCGGCGCGACATCTGGCGTAAAGCAGGACAAATACCAGGCTGGTTCAGACACTTTATTTCCCAGGCTCGTCTGAAAGCATGAGCGTAAGTGAAAACCGAATGAAGCGCTGGAATGACACGGGACGTTCGAACTAACACGTCTCCAGTAGACTCTCGGAGGGCAAGATTAGCGCAAACTGGTAAATCGTTAAGTTCCTCCTTGTTGAAGCCCCGTACTTGGCAGTTCTTCCGCGCCATAACGTACTCCAAAAACCAGCGATCTTGGGGACTGGAGATGGAGTTGGAACTGCGATCCTGTAGTCTTGCCCATCGTTCCTCCAACTGCCGGATTCCCCGGGGGTACGGTGCCAGAGAATATACGTTCTTAGCGTTGAGTGCTTGACCAAGATCGGCAAGCAATAATGGATCCGGTACCCATGAAAACAACCACTGAAGACGATTTACCGCTTCAGAAACTACTGCCATCGCCTGGAGAAGTCGGCGGAGTGTTTCTCCGTGGGCTATTACCATCACCGCCATATTGTCTTCTAGACGCGCTGCTAATCTCTCCAGGACTTTCTGGTAAGCCCTCAGTTCAGGGGTACTGCTTACAGTTTCTGCAACGGGGATACTTTCCAGTTTGGTCAGACACAACTGATCATCACTTTTTGCGAGCTGGCCAATCGTTTTAGTCACGTGGATGCTGTACTCGTCATCAGCGTGAAGAATAGCAAATCTCTGCCATTTCATGTCCACTGCCACTTCTGCTAAAGTCTGTAAGAATATAGTTATAAGTTATATAGTTAGAAAAAAATCTATTTATGGTTATTTAATAATCTGCGAGCCAAGCAAATGAACTATTTGGGTCGTAACTATTTTCTAGCATAAAAATATTTTAATGTTTAATTTGACCGGCAGATGTCCTTTCATTTTGTAAGCTTGAAAGAGTTTGGATTAAGAAATTATGACACGATTAAAATCATCGACAGAGAAGGATTTCAAAAAGAAAAAATGACCCTTTCAGACATAGACCTAACAACACAGTACCTTCTAGTACTCATTTATCAAACTAAGATATGAACCCACTACGAACAAGTAGGAAAGTATTTTCAAGTACTCGTTTATCAAACTAAGCTATGAACCCACTACGAACAAGTAGGAAAGTATTTTCAAGTACTCGTTTATCAAACTAAGCTATGACAGTGATTTTTCACTTACGCT